AAGGATATGAAGAAGTTCAATGAATTAATCCAACAGTTGCAGACACATGTTGTGGCTATGGAGAAGCTAATGGAAGAAAAAGAGAAGGAATTGGGAATTAAAACAGAGGAGAGGATTAGGATGCGTGAGGAGAATGAAGAGATGAAGAAGAAAGTGGAAGAACAGGGTATGAATATGAGAGAAGCAGAAAGGTTGAAGAGAGAGTTACAATCAGTGGAAAGAGATATTAGAGAGGCTGAGATTGAAAGGAACAAATGGGAGGAAAAGTATTGGGATCTTGATGCTGCCATGGGGACAAAGTTAAAGGAGCTCGAAGCACTTCAGATTGAATGCAACCAGACTATACAGAGGTACACTTTTTTTGACATATGAACGATCTTTATCAATTATCACAACCTTATTGATATTTCTGGTTTCTTTTAGGTTGAAACTAGGAAATGACTTCCAGTATGATCTGAATGCAAAAGGGTTAACACCTGTTGAGGTTCTTGGGATGGATTATAAGTCAACACTGAAACCTGCACTAAAGTCTGCTAGTGATGATGTAAAGAGAAGTTCAATGGAAAATCTTGAAAGTTTGATATCTCTTCAACAATCATCCCGTGACATTAATTCAAAGATTGATGCAAAAAGAAATCGTATTGTTGTACTTCAATCACGAATTGAGGAAGTAAGTCCCAACTATTGCTGTTTATAAGTCCTTTTAAGTACTTTTTGCAAACATTTGGGAATGTTTGATTGTGGAGAATAACAATGGACTTTACTGTTGCTACCAATATGGGTGATGATGTACTTTACTTGTTGCATATTGCTATCATTGAGGAAATGTAAATACATTTCTATTATTGATCAGGTGGAAACTCGAATAAACTTGATAAAGAAAGAAACACAAGATTACACCTCACAATGTGCTATGGAAGCTCGGAAATTGGTAGAGAAATTTGAAGTTGATTCTCATAAAGTGGATGTTGTTGAAAAAGAAGCTCGTGAACTTGTTAAGGTAATTCCTCAATTTATTTATTTACTTTTATGTTAATTATATGAAACAATGATGAGGAATGGATATTAACAATAATGTGTGTTATTCATTTGTGAAGAGTTCAAAAGTGAAGTTAAAGGAAACAATGATGCAAAATGAAGAAGAAATTGAAATGTGTGGTGATGAGTTATTGACATTGATTGATTCAGTGTCGAAGTGTAAAGAATTTATGGTTTCAAAAATATCAAAAATGAAAAATGAGATTTCGGAAACCGGTGTTGATATAGCACAAGTTCACAAGGCATCATTGAAAACTTGTTTATGATATGTTTTGTTCTTTTGTTTTGGTAGTTGATTGAAATCCTACTTTTAGTCTTTATTAACTTTAAGAAATGATTCGATTAGAGTTTGTTTATTGTAAATTGAGAATAATAAACATACCTTTCAGGAATAATTTAACATATGATTCGGTTAGGTTTTTTTTAGATACAATGATTATGGTTATTGCATTTGTATGTAATTATTAGAGTAAAATATAGTTTTGATCATTGTGGTTTGCCCAAATCATCAGTTTTGGGCCTAGTATTATGATTTGATCATTAAAATTTAATGGCTTTTTTATTATCCAACCAATTAACTTCAAAGACTTTTCGTTATCCCCGATTAACTTATAAATAAGTTTGCAATTTTAACTTTCTTCCACACAAAAAGAAGGTATCATGTTGCCTTCTTTGAGAAAATGACAACAAGAAAGCAACAATGACATATTCGAGACTCAAGGGTAGCAACACCTCATCTGAGCTTTATGGTTTTTACAATGCCGTGTATTTCTTCATTAAAGTCTTTCATGTGGGTTATTTCACATTTGTCCCATAATGTTTTCCATTAGACCTATTGTTAATTATGTCGAACACGTCGACATAAATAAGTTCATCCTAGGCATGCTTGAAGCATTACACAATGCTATTGGTTGGAAATGGATGAGTCATTACTCATCGAACTACAAAATAACACTGACATCGATCAATTTTGTAATATCCCAAATTTTCAACCAAAATTTTCTTTTTGAAATATAATTTAAACAACCAAAACCATTTTCTTAAAAGTAACAAATATCCATTGGGTTCAAATATCAGAAAAACATAATCAAGAGTCAAATGAAAGTCTCAAAATCATTAACAAAATACGAGTACAATCACGTCGTGCTCTTTCTTTTCTCACACCTAAAAAACTATATATATATATATATATATATATATATATATATATATATATATATATATAACGAGTAAGTGCAAAACTTAGTGAGTTCCTTACTATACCACATACTCTATCACATATACATTGCATAACAATTATAAGCTCACGACCAATACGTTAGTAGGCCTATATGCTCACAACCATCATCCCAACTGACTTTTAGGCTCCTAACCATCATTCCATTTGGGCCTATAGGCTCATAGCCAACACCACAGTGTGTCAGTAGATACACAACCGTCATCCCATCTAACATATAGGCTCCTAGCCATCATCCATTCATTCCCTTTAACATGTCACATACCATAACAAAAGACTACTATAGTCTAATCACATATATGTATGCTAACAGTACACAAGCACCGTACCACAAACAAGACATACCATGTCACATATAATATAATGAGCAAACTCACCTGAATCTGAAAGTCCAAGTCTCACACACAAGTAGGTTTGTCAAAAAGTCCCTTGGGACCCCGATCCCGTGGGGGCCCCGTCCCGTTTGGGGGTATTTGCTGAAAAAAAAAACCATGGACGGGAGCGGGGGCGGGGGCATGGTTAACCCCCGTTTTAATTTCGGGGGCGGGGGCGGGGGTTGGCAGTCCTGTCCCGAAACCCTCATGGGTGCCCCATTAGTAAATTATATATATTTACATATACTAATTATATAAATATAATACGCAATATAACGATTTTTACGTACCAAAATTCAATAAAAAAATATGTTTTTAAGTTGTTTGTAACATGTAAAATTATGCTATAAATAACTATTTGTTACCAAAAAGTAGTTTCTTTTAGCCCAAACAATAACTTCTTTTAGCCCAAAATCAATCGGGGGCGGCGGAACAGGGGCGGGGGCGGGGGTAAGAAAGGGAATTCGGGGGCGGGGGCAGGGGTAGAAAGGATGGAGATTTCGGGGGTGGGGGCAAGGGAGAGGGCAGGGGAATGGGGGAATTTTGGGGGCGAGGGGTGGGGGACGCAATCCCCTTCCCGTTTGCCCCCGTTGACATCCCTACACGCAAGAATCCTCAAACAAACCGACTAGCACAAGCCACCTAAGTTCACCATTAGACACATTACATTAACCGTTACCACCCAGAGGTTAAACCTCTGTCCAAAACTCCATGTCAATCAAAGTTTTACCAAAAGTAAAATTGGTCAAAAGGTCAACGGTCAACAGTCAACGTGTTGCGACCACTACAGTCCAAAATAGTCGCAAACCAGACCAAGTTTCGCGCTGCGACCAAGCCTTGGTTGTGCCGCGCTTCCAGGGAAGAACAACGACTTCTTATTAAGTGCTTAATCTGTTAAGCGGCTATAACTTTCCAGAAACCTTCTAGGTAGGTTCTTAGTGGATAAAAAAATTCAAACTTTATAGTCATGCAAGCCCGTAACAGAAACCCTAGATCTAAAACAAGCCAAAAAGGCTAAGGTTTTCTTGCATGATTCAAAGAGAGCATATGCATGCACTTTTTCACTATATTGAGTCCAGAAAACCATCTAAAACATCCCACCAACCTGGAGTTTTCCAAACTTCATTGAAATCATACCAAGGGACCAAAGTGACTATAACTCTCGATCTAGAAGCATAGAGTTATAAAGATGCAAACTTGAACACTTACAAAGGTTATAGAGATGACAAGAAGGTTGGAACTCTTTGGATCTAGTTTCTCTTGCACCAAAACTACAATCTTCTTCTTCAATTAACACATCAAAGCACCAAAAACTCAAGAATTGATGAAAGGAGGCTAAGGTTTCTGGAGTATGGAGGTTGATAAGAGAGGAAAACTTAGACGTTAGTGCCTTTAAATAGGGTCCAAAACCCGAGACCAAGGGTTTTGATCTATGGAGGAGACGCGTCACGACCCACTTAAGGTTGCGTCGTGACTTATCAAGATGGCACATGTCGCGACCAGCACCTGATCGCATCACGAAGTCGCCCAAAACCCCCTTCCATATTCCATAAAATTAATAAATAACATACCCAAGAAAAGAAACAGGCATTACGAATTTAAAGATAACATTAACCTCTTCATCAAGTAGGCTTGTAATGTCCTAAAACCACGATAAAAATTTTCATTTAAAAAGACATTTTCATAAAATCCATAGAATAATTAAACATTGTTTCCAAGCCAAAACCATAGAAATCAAAGTATCAAAATCATCTCCTAAAACATAAATCAACATGAGGATGTGTACGATCATGTTTTCGCCTTGCCCTGATAATCTGAAGTACCTGAAAACATTTAAATCCACAATCAAAAGCCAAAGTTTAATGAGCTCCCTCAAAATACCCCCACATAATACACACATAATGCATGCACACATGAGCCTACAATATGGTACTTTGAGGAACTCACTAAGTTTTGTGCTTACAGTTATGTTTATGGTTTCAAGTACTTCCGATTCGAAAAGGAAGAGCCCGACATGATGGCACAACATCATCCCCTTATGATTTTCACATTCTGAATAATTGTACTCTGATGTTTTGAATATTATAACTGGATGTTTGATTTTGAACAATTTGTATACGATTTGGTAAACTTCCAAATGAAAAATTTTATCATTGTTTTTGGGATGTTACAATTTGTGCCTGAAATCTTATTATGCCCAAGCTCTTGGCACTTTCCACACCTCACAGTCCTAAGCACCTTTAACCTTTGTGAGGGGTATGGTATCTTGTGATTCAGATGCATGCTTCACTCTCTTTAGTTTGGGTCTTCTAGGCATCCTTCTAACTGGGTGTGGTAATGGTTTAATAAACTCAACCCTTGACCACAAGTTGTTTCCACCTACATGTAGTATGTTCTCCATATATGTTGCAACATATTTGTCCTTGTGGAACCAAGAAGAAATGAACTGAATTGGATCTTTTGTGGATGAAGTTGATTGCAGCTTGACCATGAACACATGGTATGCCAAACAACTTCCACAAGTTGCAGGTGCAAGTGTGAGTAGCTAAATCCACCTTGTATCCTATATAGCCATACCTTGTCTCAAACACATCACCTCCACTTGGCACCACTGTCCACAACCTACATACAAAACAAACAAATTACACACATAAACAATAAATAATACATTTGGATACATGCCCATAAAAACTAACATTACCTCATATATTTCCTAAATTCCTCAATCTTCAGTTGTATGTTAGGCCTATAATTACCCCTCCATTTGGATACCTCTTGACCTTGATGATAAAACTTTTTCATAAGGAGAATCCTTATTTCCTCAAGCATTGTAAATAGAGGCTTCTTCCTCATTTCTTTGAAACATTCTAAGACCCCCATTCTCCACTACTTCACAAGCATACCCATGAGAAAAGAAGGCTATGCACCAGGTTTCAGGTTTCCTTGCCATAAGATAGTTGTATCATGTTTCTGTTATATTCTTTATCTTCTCCATTATAGCAAGAAAGTCCCCTTCCACTGTATTCATAGCTGCTTCCCAGAACAAATTCTTCAGCTCCAATCCTTTGTATTTCTTCCTGAAGTTTGCAAAGATGTGTCTAGCACATTGTCGGTGCTCAACATGGGGGAGTAGGTTTGCCACAACCTGTAAAAGTCTTTATAATTAACAAACAAACACAGGACATGTAAAAATTAATGAGTGTTACATAGAAATATATATATATTGTATACTAATATATGTTGTATGTACCTTGTGTTGGTCTGAGCATTGCCAGCACCAAGATCCAAATCATCAATCAAATTCTCAATGAACCAGGTCCAGTTGTCCTTATTCTCAACATTCACAATTACCCATGCTATTGGGTAGACATGGTTGTTTGCATCTCTCTTAATAGCAGTTAAAATCTCCCCCTTTACATGCTCCTTCAAGAAAATACCATCTACTCCTATCACCCTTCTACAGCCTCTGTTCCATCCACCTCTGAAGCCTTGAAGCCAACATAAAACTTCTTGAAATAGTTACACCCCATATTATTTTCTACCCCCACCAAGCAAGTTGTACCCGGATCAGTCAACCTAATTGCAACTGTATAGTCCCAAACCCTGGTATAGTGGTCTTCTAACTTCATTTCTACCATCCCCAATGCAGTAGCCCTTGCTCTTTGGCATTGCCCAACAGATACACTCACTGAAAACCTTTGTAGCACATCTGCTTGCATCTCTAGCAATGTCATTTGGGCTTCATGATTACATCTTTCAGGTAGTGTTTGGCTAACCAATTGCTAGTAACTAGGGAACCAAAGTGATAATTCCTAGCATACAGATGAATTTCATTACAAAATTTAATCTAGAATCCCCTTTCATTGTACTTCCATCCAGCTGCAACCGTAAATGGGCACTACATTTTTTTATTGTCACTACTTCCACTACCACACTTAGCTATAACCCCCACTCTATCATTTTTTTCAAAATAAAGTTGGTATCCTCCATGGACTGCATAGTTTGTTAAAGCAAACCTGAGTTGAGCAGGGGATTCATAACAGTCTCCTAATCGGGGCCTCATCTCTTTCCAGTCAACGTTGGGATCATGCACCATATATTCGACGCCAACATCTTCATCGTCCTCATCTAAGTGGGCATGCTCATTTTGTTGGCCACCAAGATTGTCTCCATCATCTACCATTCCATCAATACTCCTTTTTAATATGTTTTCGTCACACAATAAGTTAAGAAAATGATCATTACATAGTTTTGAGGGGAATTTGAAAGTTTGTTCAAAAAAAATCCAAAAAGCTAAAGTCAAATGCTTCATTATCGGAGTCGGAGTCTAGAAGGTATGTCTTCTCAGTGACCTTAGGCCCTTTAGGCTTCTTGGTTCCAGAAGTAAAAGTCATTTGTTTCATCAAAAAAGCAACAACTTGTTAGTTCAAACTTGGAACTCCATAGACGAAGATAACCACCCTTAGAAGCATCAATTTCTTGTTTCCATACACGTACCTTCCTACTCCATCTTACTTCAACGATTTTGGAGCTTCAAAATGCAAATTTAGGGACTATGAAACTCTTCTCAGCGTCAAACCCTTCTCGAATGCATGAAACCCTTTATCAGTGATGGTTCGTGACCGGATAGTACAGATAACCTGCTCGTCACCGGGTATTAGCTCTCAAGTGATAATTCCACAAAAATATTGTGTCCACAGTCAATGAAAAATTACAATCAGGGCTATTGCCAATTTAATGGCAAAAATATAAGACTTTTATGATATTAGTCCTATTATTAATACAAACATTTTATTAAATAAAAAATACATTCATAACACATGTTTATAAATTATTACAAAGTATTCAAGTACTAAAATATAATTAAAGCAATTATTAATTTAAAATGTAACCATATAATTAAATTAACATAAAATATATAAAACTAATCATGGAATAATGAAACTAAATTAGCAATGTATCAAGTATAAACATCAAACTTGTAGAACTAAAATTGACATGTGAAACTTTCCATTTTTACTGTTAGGAAATGGAGTTGGATTGGAGTATTTTGACTGAAATCCCCTAAATCTCAACAAATTCAATGTGTACTATTGAATGCTCATCAATAATACAAGTACAACATGTTCTCTCTTGTCGTAATCATTAGCAAACCATGAGAGTAAAAATGACGATTTTACCCCTTCCATGATAGATCTCCGGTTTGCTTCACTCACTTGGTTTTCTGTGAGAGGTTAAAAACGGGAGAATACGTGTGTCGGAGGATGATAGTGATCATGACATAAGTGTTAGCAGCAAAGAACAATAAGCTTGCTGCCCAAAGCTGTAAAAAGACTTGTTTGCCCTTGAACTCAAGCATATAACCCCAAAACAACCAATGAAGTTGAGCTCCAATCCAAAAGGATATACAAAAAACACCTTCCCATTTGAGCTTCATTTTGGTCCATGGCAGTATCAATGGCAACAGACAGAAGAACCACACAAAATACTGAGCTGTTATCACCTGTAAATAACTACAATATCACATATTTATATCACCATATCAAAAAAAAATTACTTTCATTTCTTTCTATTAATTTCTTTACCTTGTTAAATGCAACAAACGCAACAGTTTGAACAAAGAAACAGAAGGAAAAATCATGCGCGAAGCGGAACACCAGAAGAAGCTGCACCATCAACTGAGGCAAAAAGGAGACGAGTTTTTCCAAAACCGAAAATTGGCGTTCATAATTCAAATAAATATGATAAAAATAAATGGAAAAATTATGTCTAGGATCCGTTCGTGTTAAATGGTACAACAAGGCCTCATGTAAGAACTCCCATTCGTATAAATAAAAGAATATTCCCGTGAAAAGGAAGAATACGGATGCTGATGTCAGCGAAAACAAGATTCTTGATCTTGAAAACAGATTGAAAGATTTGGTGGGGCCCAAAGTGAGATGTGTTTTGGGGTGTTTTGAATTCCAGTTTGTGATAATGGGCTTTTTATTGGGCTTGAAAAGAGAAGGATCAAGAATTATGAGGATAGGAAGGGCGTAAATTATCGGGTAGATTCTCATGTGTACAACAAGCCCATACCAAATTGCACCTTGAAAAAGATTACCTACAAAATAAAATATAGATTTTTCAAAGTAGAATATTGTAATAGGAAGAACTAAAATAAAGAATTTGATTATATAGTAAAACGTGGTATAATTAAAATTTGTACCTTTCATAAGACAAATAATGACCCACAAGATAATGGCACAAACAATGGGCTCACAATTGCCACGTGTTCCAATTGTGAAAGTGAAAGGGTTGAAAAGCCAAACAATTACAGAGTAAATGCATAAATTTTCAGGCACTCCACGAAGCTTTAGAATCTTACGTATAAAGTATCCCACAAGTAAATCTGCAGTTTACTAACAATTACAGAGTAAATGCATAAAATATAGATTTTTCAAAGTACAATGTCTTTGAAGTGAAATGTCTTTTAATAACAAAAAGAAATGTAAGTAAGATGCTCTTTTTCCATGAAGATAATCATTTTTGTTTCAAGAAATTGTTTACCTGAAGCAGCAAAGAGAAACTTTCCCCATGATTGATGAATAAAGGAATTTGGTGTGAGAATAAATGCAATCAAAGGAGAGTAACGATATGTGGATCTTTTGTAAGGGGATTTTCCAGAAACTATTAAAGCAGCAGCATCTGAGAAAACAAGGTAATCAACATCTGTATACCTAACTTCCATATGAGTATCTTGCCATTCTCCATAGACAATTAAGAAGACACGTAGAAAGGCTGAGAAAATTATAAGGGAACGAAAATTCAAAGCTTTCATTGATCCTTCAAGCTGCAAGAAAAGATCATATAAGATTAGCAACCATTGATCGATATTGTATTTGAAAAGTGCTAGGTTTAATGTCAAGATTACAAATGTTCCATTTGTTTACCATGTTTAGAACTTAGGGAAAACTAGTTTGAGTCTTATGTGATTACTGGAGAGCCTTGCATATACAATGACACTTCAATTTGTATTTGATTTCTTTCTAGTCCAACACCAATGTACTACTGCACTACTCGCTTCTTCTATGAGGCATTATTTCAAACAGTTGGTATGCATGTTGTCCAATTGTCTTATGCATCACAGAAATCACACAAGATCTATCGCAAGCCCACAAATATAAGATGAAAAAAAATCATAATCGATACATAACGAACAAGCTGAAGAAAAGGTCAGGAAGAATGATTTCATCAAATCACCTGGGTGTACAAATTAATGACGAATCTGACCCACTTCAAAGAGTCGTGCAAAGTTGTGACGTTGATTTCTTTGTCATAGCATCTGGAGGACCATTAATCGTTATCAATCAAAGAAATCTGAAGAAGTTGGTAGCTACGGACTTCAGTCGAGCTGAATTTGGAGAATATGAAACCCCTGATCTTGTAATTCTGAGAAATCTAAGAATTTAAGAGCGGAAGAGCGCATAAAAGACGATAAATGTTACCCTTTGGCCCCTATACTTTGAAAATAATAAAAAAATGGCGGAAACTGAAACCCAATAAAAGGGTTTACAAATTTGCCGCGACTTCAACCACATATCAAAATGGGTCACCAGATTTCACCTCCACTGCCATTGACAGCAAACTTCCCCCTTCTTCAACGTTCTTCTTGTTTCCTTGACCATCTCGTTTTCCTTTCATCACCCATCAAACACAGATCAATTTACTCATCACCCAGAAGATCGTCGTTATCCTACCACAAACCCTCATGCCATCGAATTGAGAAGAACGCGAGATTACAGAGAGCCAGGGTTTCTTTCTTTCAGTCGACGAAAAGTGATGGGTTTGAGAACAACCTTAAACAGGAGCTTCTTGAGACTATAGCCCCACTCGATCGTGGTGCCGATGCTACTCTTGAACAACAGGAGCGCGTTGATCAGGTTTGGATTTCGTAATCCAGTTGTTGAAGCAATTGAATGGGTGATTTAGTGTTATTTCTTTGCTAATGTTTTAACAGGAATTCGAACTCATTGTTTCACATATACCATAGCATAAACATTTTGAAGATCATACTTTAATAATTGTAGAAATTACTTAATCCTCCTTGATATTGTTCAGATTGCACGTAAACTTGAAGCAGTGAATAAGGTGAATGAGCCACTTAAATCTGAATTGCTAAATGGAAAATGGGAGCTTCTATACACAACATCTCAATCAATCTTGCAAACAAAGGTGACATTTTATTCAAACACAAGATTTCCATTTCACTGAAGGGTATTTTGGTCTTTTCATTAGAAGTCAAATACTTTTATTTACCCATCATTTTTTTTTGTAGAGACCTAAAATCTTAAGAGCAAATGGAAAGATTTACCAGGCAATCAATGTGGACACTCTCAGAGCACAAAATATGGAAACTTGGCCATTCTTTAACCAGGTGTTTATAAATAAATAAATAAATAATATTAATATCCTTTAATTACAACAAAATAAGGAGAATCTTGAGGACTAAAATCATCTAATACATTTTTTTTCAGGCTACTGCTAATTTAGTTCCTCTTAATGCAAGAAGGGTTGCAGTCAAGTTTGATGCATTTAAAGTGTTGGGATTGGTAGGTGTAAACATGTTAAATGCAAGAAATAACAAGTTACTTTCATTGATTTGTTTATTACAATATTATAATTGGGTAATTTTTCAAAGTACAATGCCTTGATAAGAAAAAAAAAAGTGAAAGTACAATGTGTTGATTTGTAGATACCTATAAGAGCTCGTGGAAGTGGTCGTGGTCAACTGGAAATAACATATTTGGATGAGGAGTTAAGGTACAAAAAAAAAAAAACAAGTTAAAGTACAATTTTGTAAATTGTAACAGAAAGAAATGAAAATAGAATTTTGTAATACACAAATATATGAAAGTATGTTGTGGTTTCTTGCATTTAGCCCTTTCTTCAATGATTTGATATTGTTCTTGTAGAATATCAAGAGGCAATGAAGGAAATTTGTTCATATTGAGGATGGTGGATCGAATGTATAGAGTCCCTCTTTAAAAAAAAAAGTGTCAAATTTACCATAGTTTGAGCATGTTTGTAGAAGGTCAAATATGTAATTACACTTTGACCATGGAAGGTCAAATGTTTAGTCAAGTAAGATGTTGATTCTTTTGTAAATTGTACACAAAAATATATAAAAATAGAGGCCTATGGTGAATCTTGTAACTGTTACTTTGTTATTATTGTATAAAAACAATATATTATTCGTTCAATTTAATTAAATATAACGAGTTTAGAGATTTAAATAATGTTTTTGTTGAAGTCAAACATCAGCTAGACATGATCACCTCCACCTTTATCTGTTTTGGAGTCTCCTCTCTCTTCTCAAAAGGTCTTGTGGAAAGAAAATCAAAAACTCTACATATCTAACGATTTTATAAAAGTATTGTATATTGCATTATACCATACAATTTCTCAAATACATTTAGATCATCCTTTTATGGAAAAGTTATTAAAAATCAACATCAATATCCAATTATCCATGCTATGACTTCAAAGAGATTATTATTTAATTCGTATATATTTACGAAAAAAGATCTCCATGCTATGATTTCACACTTGCATCATGTGGGGATTCGGTAAGAAGGATCAATCATCTTTAAAACAAACAAGTTTCCCTTATCGCCCCTTGAGACCCTATAAAACATAGTAACAATATATGTTATCTCAAGTTTTGAAAGATTTGAAATTTATGTAAATATTGAAAATTTCACCTCAATTCTTCATCCAAATATGTTATCTCAAGTGAACCACGAGCTGAATCGGATGCTTTAACCGGTATCTATATGAAAGATTCATCAGTTTATTAATTATATAAATCGTGCATGGATTTTCATTTTAGACAAAATAAAAAAAAATGAAATAAACATATCGATGTAATTAATAAAAAAAATCTTACCAATCCCACAATCTTAAAGTAATCAAATTTCACTGCCACCTTTTTGGAGTTCACTGGTGTTAGATCCGCTGTTACCTAGAGATAGATGAAAACAAGTTAACATAATAAATTTGTTGCATGTTATTTTTTTAGTTTGTTATGAAGGCAAAATGACAAATAGGTCCTTGTAGTTTCGATATGAATGGAAGACAATAGATATTAAAAAAGATTAGTAAAATACCTGGTTAAAGGTAGGAAACGATTCCATATTTTGAGCTCTAAGTGTGTCTACATTAATCGCTTGATAGTTTACACGTGACCTAAGGAACTTGGGTCTCTATAAAAAAAAAGGATACTTGTTGAGTAAAAAAAAAAAAATGTTTTTCTGTAAATCAGGTACACAACAGTCTGCTAAATAAATAACTGACCAAAGATCAAGAAAAGAACAAAGGTAAACCTTAGTTTGTAGAATGGATTGTGAAGTGGTATATATGAGTTCCCATTTTCCATCTAGTAAGGGAGACTTGAGAGGCTCTTTTGTTGGATTTGCTGCTTCAAGTTTTTGAACTATCTAAATCAAACAATTTAGGTCCAAGCTAACCACAAACACAATAATAGATCATGAACTTTCATGAATTTTTTTGGGTGAGATACAGAAAAATATAACCTACATTTCATTATTTTATGGATTTAGCTACTTTAAGTGTCTTTTTTAGTGATTACACAATTATATTTTTTGACGTTACGTTTTTTAAAGTATAAAATATTGTATCTAGTTGTACTAGGTAACATTTTCTACATGTTAGAAGTCAATGCTACTACTAGACAGATGGAAATTTGACTCAAATAGTTAAAATTTGGCATAAATGTTTGTATCTTTTCATAGTGTTTCTTTTGTGATGTTCCATAAAAGTTCAATGCAATTTTGGTATTGAAAAATAGTCCTTTTGAGTTTTGACTTTGACCCTGTATACGTTTGGGGCAATGAAGATCAAGAATCCAGACAGAGTATAATTCAATCCCAATTGTAAGACGAGAACCCAGATCATTGAAAGAGTTGATATTTACAAACAATTGTTTGCTATTATCAGATAAAAGAAAAAAAAAACTTTGCAATTTTGATTAGAATGGAAGGCTGACCTCCTCGATTGTCTGTTGGTCTTCAGCGGAAGCTTCAGCGCCACGATCAAGGGGAGCAATGGCGTCAAGAAGCTCTTCTTTAATGGGTTTGGCATCTTTGGGTTTGTTCAAGAAAGAGGTTAGAAAAGAAACATTGGTCCTCCATTTTGAGATGGGTGTTGCTGAAAAGAGGTGGTGGGTGGTGGTAAGTTTGGCCGGAAAAGTTATGGTGGAGAGGGAGGAATGAGAGTGGAAGAGTTTAGGGAGTTGGTGTGTGGTGGTGGTGGTGGTGTTGACGGCGGTTGAGGGAGTGGATAAGGCCATAGAAACGGGAAGAATTGGTGGTTGTCGATGGTGGTAGTCTTTTTTGTTGATGTGGGTGAGATTTTGTCAGCCAAATGGTTCGACTTGATTGGGAGAGTGGTTGGTTGTATAAATCATGATTTACTTACCAAAATTCATATTCACGTGATATAAGAATTGATATTTTCGTATGTTTTCACCGTGTTATATTTAATTATCATTACTTAATTAGGATTTTACTTGCCGTATGTGCGTTGAAATGATAGTAATGAATTTAAGTTGAATTCTGACTTTTATATTGATAAAAGTTAGGTATTTATAGTAGATAAAATATATAAGATCGGTACCACAAATTAACTCCAATTTATGTTGTCGAATGAAAATGTTTTATATGTGACCAAACTCATTCTTCGAAAACATACATAAAAATAAGAACGAAAACGTACACAAAATTTAAGTTGAAATGTATAAAAAAAATGAATTACTACCAACACGTACATAAAATAAGCAAGCAAGATTATTTTGTTGTAAGTTAACAAATGGAAATTTAGATAATCAAAAATCTATTATATGCATCCGAATCATACATAGGAAGGGTATATAAAAATGTCACACCTCAAAACCGGAACGGCGGAAACGTTCTGGGGTGGAGGACGTCATGTTTAGCATCACAAGACATGCATCATAGTAATCAAAGTAATGAACAACCATTTCATTAGAAAGAAAGTGTTTACAAAGTGTGTGTTCACAAAACATAGAATACATAAGCAAATAACAAACAAGACTTGAAGCTATACTGCTCCATCTTCTGAATCCCAGCACGAGTACCTGTCTACTAGGCTCCTAAGAATACAAGTTATTTGAAAGAGTTGATCAGCAATTAAGCTGGTGAGTTCATAAGATTTTAGTGATGTAAGTATGTTGTAGAAAGTTGTTGTAAAATGTTGTGGAAAATGTAGTTGAAAAATGTAGTAAGTTGTAAGTTCTGTTTAGAAAAGTTCGTCTGTTCCTCTTAGAAAATCCTATATTTCCTAATTTAATGAAAGATACGTAAAAATGATTCTACAATCCTTTCTATGAGTACTAAATGGATACAAGTGATATAAAACTCAGAGTAAACAAACAATCGACTGTGCGCATCTGCCATAAGCTCACAACCAAACAAAGGACAGGAAGTAAGGCGGATAGCACACATCCCATTATTTGTTAGATCATTGTTGTATATAACCCTGGCGTATTCACTTGTTACTCATGGAGTTAATTGTAATGGTTCCTTTATATTTAATGAAAAGATTCTTTAAGAAAACCCTTATTCCTTATAATAAAATGGTGACCACAGTGATTACTTCTATAATCACTTAGTTTATACTGGCTATATATGATCTAATATCGAATAGATAGCTAATTGGGTGAATCTGCCCTAAGCCCACAACCAAACAAGGAACAGGAAGTAAGGCGGAAAGCACACATCCAACTACCTATTGGGTATTAATGATATATAACCATGATGTATAAACTAAAGTATTATAGAGTTAATCACCTAAGGTCCTTTAAGTTTATACTGGTTTAATAAAATGGAGTAAACCCTTAACTGGTAAGTTTCTAGTTTTGTATACCAAAAGTTCTGATTTGGAAAGTATGTTTTATACTAGAAAACTGTGCATTGACTCTGTGTCCTATGACTTGACCCATACCTGGTACCCTTATGATGACTTATTGTATACTGAACCTATATATCTTGAATCGAATAGGTAATAGACTGGGTGAATCTGTTCCAAGCCCACAACCAAACAAGGAACAGGAAATGAAGCGGAGAGCACACATCGTATTACATGTCGGATCCTATTGATATATATGTATTCTTTGATGTATACATTAAGGAATCATAAGGTTAGCATTATGGTCCTTTCTACTAAACGTAGCCTTCTACCAAGGCATCTAATGTTATGTGTGATTGTTTCTTTTATGAGTGTGTATTTTCCCAAGTGAGACTATCTTTAACTAAATATAGTTTATACATTAATGAATATGTGAGAAGATCACAAAGTAAATGTAATAGGGAAAATAATTTTTTCCCTCAGCAGTGACACTGCTGGCTATAAAGTGATAAAATATAGACTCCAGGTAGTATTAAATGTACAATACACCTCGGGGAGTCTTTTTGCCTTTAATCCTTAGTCGGTTAATTAAAGGTTTAAATGTGAACTCGTATGTAACCATGCTGATCGACGGCTGAATAAACGATGACCCTCCGGTGTCATATGTAGTGAGGTGACATTTGTCACCCCTTGGCCTTATCGGCTGGGACTATAGCTAGCAGTCGGGGTGTGGGAGTGTTTGTCCCGTATAGATCTATACACAAGATGTCCCGCTCTCCCTCCAGGAGACTCTGGTTACAATATGATACAACACTGTATTGTTGTATCCTTAAATAGTATGTCACATTAGTTTATCGTATAACAGTGTTTGTATAGTAAGTCATAGTGTAGTAATATTCTTTCTGTACTAGTGTATAGTATACTCTCTTGTATAGTGTATAGTGTGAAATGTTTCTCATAATAGTGTGTTCTGACTCATGTATGAACTGACTCTTTGTATGCTTCATTGTACTAGAAGTAATGAGTAGTGTCTTCCTAAACTATACCTATTATAGTTTACTAATGTTTTACTTGAACTGTTATTGAAAAGACTCATTTATCTACTAAGTTATGCTTGTACTTTAAAAACGGAGTTTCGTAAAACTATAAAGTAACATAACTTTAAAAGAGTTTTTGAAATGTTTTGATCGCTTATAAAAGACATAAGCAATCTTTTTGAAAGGTATTTATAGCAAACATTTACACAATTATCATTGTGTTCAACTTGTATTCCC